TATATATATATATATATATATATATATATATATATATATATATATAAGTTGGAAAAAAAGGCGACGTTGCCTCTTTTCTGCTCACGCAGGGAGAAGAAACGCCACCTCGACGACGCTCGGTTTCTTCTCCCCGTGACGCCGCCAAGGATTCTTCTCCCCACGCGGATGCGGAGAAGTCGCCGACGACGTCGAGGCCTCGTTGCCTCAGACAAGGAGGGAGAGCAGCACCGGATCTCTAGGTTCTCCTCTTCTTTCTTCTCACTCAGCTAATACCACCCGGTAGCAGGTGGTGACGACCGATTTAGGGTGGTAACGAGGCGAAAACAGCCTCAATCGACAGTACCACCTAGTAATGGGCGATCTGCGTACCGGTCTACTGGCGGACCGGTACGTACCACCTGGTACGGGCGGTATTATTCGAAATTAAAATCCTTGGTTCCAGCCTTATTGGTGCCTAAGAAGGATGGTTCTTGGAGAATATGTGTAGATAGCCACGCCATCAACAAAATCACAATTGGTTATCATTTTCCCATTCCAAAATTAGATAATTTACTTGATCAATTGTTTGGTGCTTTTATTTTCTCTAAAATTGATTTGAGTAACTATCACCAAATTAGAATGAGGCCTGAAGATGAGTGAAAAACAATATTTAAAACTAGGGATGACTTGTATGAATGGTTGATTATACCATTTGGGTTATCTAATGCTCCTAGCACTTTCATGAGATTTATGAATCACATACTTAAGCCAAGCATTGGGTCTTTTGTTGTGGTTTACTTTAATGACATATTGGCGTACAACAAGAGCGAGGAGGAGCATATGAATCATCTTAAAGAGATCTTTCTTATTTTGATGCTGCAAAAGCTTTATGCTAATCTAAAAAAGTGTGATTTTTTTACTCCTAATGTGGTGTTTTTGAGGTATGTTGTATCAAAAGATGGAATCATGATAGATTAAAGTAAGGTAGAGACTATTCTTAATTGGCCAACACCAGCTTCACTATATGATATGAGGAGTTTCCATGGTTTAACTTCTTTTTACAAAAGATTCATTAAGGGTTTCAGCTCTATTGTTGCACCAATCACCGAATACCTAAAAGGTGATAAATTCAAGTGGACTAGTGAAGCTGATGATGTTTTTGAGCTGTTAAAGGAGTTCTTGCTAAGGTTCGTAATTTCGTACCATACTAGAGTATCGAGCTCAACTCGGTATGGCACGATATACCAAGCGGTACGTTCAGGATTGTCGAGGGAGAGCGACGCCAGATCTCCAGGCCTCCCTTTTCTTCTCCCTATTCTTTCTTCTCCCTCGGCTAATACCACCCGATAGCGGGCGACGACGGTCGAAATCGACTTACTGACCAAATTAGGGTGGTAACAGGGCGAAAATAGCCCCAATTGACAATACTGCTCGGTAACGGGCAGTCCACGTACCGGTCTGTCGTACCACTCTATATGGGCAGTATTATTCGAAATTAAAATCCTTAGTTCTTGCAATCTTATAACTTTACTATCAAGTACAAATCTGGTGTTCAAAACCTAGTTGTTGAGGCATTGAGTAGAAAACATTCTTTATTATCAACCATCGAAGTCAAAATGGTTGGATTTGAGACATTCAAATATCTCTATGAGAATGATGTGGATTTCAGCTCAATAAGATAGAATTATAAATCAGGTTCTTTTCAGCAATTTTCTATCTTTGATGATTTTCTTTTTCGAGCTAATGCCTTGTGTGTTCCATTCTGTTCTTTGAGACAAGTAATTTTGGCTGAAGCTCATGGTGATGTTTTCAGAGGACATTTTGGTAGGGACAAGACACTAGCTCTTGTTCAATCAAATTTCTATTAGCCTAAGATATTTAGAGATGTGGAGAGACTTGTGAAGCAATGCTGAGTGTGTCATTTGGCAAAAACAAAAAGCCAAAATTCTGGTTTGTACACTTCATTGCTAGTGCCTAGTGCTCCATGGGAGGATGTGAGTTTTGATTTCATTTTGAGATTGTCAAAAACTCATAGGAACAAGGATTCTATCATAGTTGTTTTTGATAGATACTCAAAGATGTCTCACTTTATTCCCTACAACAAATCAAATGATGCATCTCATATTGCTAATTTGTACTTCAAGGAGATTCAAAATTTCTTAGTCATTTTTGGAGAATTCTATAGAGGAAGCTTGGTACATCTTTGAATTCTAGTAACTCTTATCATCCACGAATCGATGGGCAAACGAAGGTAACAAACAGAAGCTTGGGAAACTTGCTTAGAAGCTATGTTGGCAAGAACATCAAACAATGAGATCTCATTCTTCCACAAATTGAGTTTATCTACAATTGTTTCATGCATCATAGCATTAGAAAGAATGCTTTTGAGGTTGCTTATGGTGCTAATCCTACTGGTTATTTGGACTTAGTTCCTCATTCTTCAACTAAGCAATTTAGTGAAGATGTTGATGAGAGAGCTAAACAGATAAAGAAGTTGTATTAGAGTGTTAAAGCAACCATTGAGAAGCAAAATGAGAGGTACATGCAAGCTACCAACAAACGCAAGAATACTTATGAGATCGAGCTACTTGGAGATTATAGAGTGTCACTAACATTCAATGTGGCTGATTTAAGTTCTTATCATGTTGATGGAACAAATGAGGACTTAAGGACAAGTCTTTTTCAACCCGAGGAGATTGACACGGGAGTGCCTAATTTGTTATAATCAACTTGTGTAAATCTTGCTGATCCTATGGTATTCTCTACAGCCCACAATGCTTGTCCCATAGCTTTTAATCTAGATCTCTCAAATGTGACAACCTATAAATCAAATGAGTTGCAAGCCCATTTTCTAAACCTGCAAATGGTCCAACTTGATTAAATAGCCCAAATTGATTGCTAAAGAATTGAAGGACGTGCCTTTATAAGTTAAAAAAACTCACTTTCTAGTTGTTTCATTAATAGATGGTTTGGTGGGCAGATTCAAAAGGAGGGTTAATTCAACTTATCTTTACGACCAAAGAATGTATTAAAGGACTTAGATATCAGTAGTAAAGCAATAAATTTTGTATTTCCCTATGCATAGAGGGTTGTTTCATGCACTAGTATTTATTTCGGTGTTTTAGAGTTAGAAAGGAGTTCATAATCTAATTGTATTTGCAGAAACTCTTTGAGTTCTCTCTTTTAACTCTATATCTCTTTGGTTTTCTAAAGAGTAGTGGGTTTAGTCTCTATATCTCTTGGATATTTCCTTGAGTAGTGAATCTTTTTTTTTTAAGTTATATATCCTTGTTTAATTATCCTTAGGGTGATGAGTTTATGTATCCCTTTGTGATTTTAGACTTGGTGAATCCATTTATCTCCATTCCATAAGTGCTTCTAGCAAATACGACTATCAGCCTTTCAAATTTCATTCCTCATCATCTCAATATCACACCCTATGGTAAGCCTAGTACAACAAGCTTACCAAGTGTTGAGTTCAATTTTAGGTCGTCTAGGGCAAAATCAAACAATCCACATACTAGTCATTGAAATTCTTGCTCCTTATATGTCATGGTTATATGGTCATTAAAATTTTGGGTCCTTTCTTGTGGCGAGTTTGTAGAAAAATAAATCCTTGTAAAAGTTCTAGCACAACAATAAAATATAGCTAATAACATTAATAACCCCAAGCCCACCACCTGGCATAATATATGGCCAAAAATCTAGGGTTTTGAGTGTCCCGATCCCTGCTTCTTTGTATTTACCTTATAGATACAATGTCACTTTTATCTACAGTTGCATATATTTACTCAACATATATAAAGGTTCAATCTTTGACTTGTCAGTTGTTGGAGATCTAAAGAATCTAAGTGGTCCAATTCGAAATTGATGTTTTAGTTTCTTTTTATCTACAGACCTATTGTTGACAACTATTCGTCCCTCCTTGTTAGCCTCCTCCACTCTTCTCATTAACATCCTCCTCCTCCCCTATTTTCTCCCTCTCTCTCTTTTGTTTGTGCTCACCCATATGCTGGCTTACCATGTGTCAGTCCCATATGGATTCCTAGTTCCATATGGGTCTTAGACCGAGACTTGAAACCTTGATAGTGATCATTAAAATCCTAATATCATATGAAAATATGTTGGATATTAATTTGGCTCCAGTATGGTATTTAAGTAAAAATCATTTATTCAAAATCATCAAGGATTTTAAGTAAAGTTATGACAAGAAAGAACAGAAAGTGCCAACAGAGTGATTTTATTGTATATCATTGTGATAAGACCGAATACACTGACCCCTCAGAACCTGCAATGGCAGCAGGCTCTTGCATCAGGCCACCCTTTTAAACAGAATGGAATTTCAAATATCATTGTGATTCTATTGTATCGCCTTACCCTTACAGTTACAGGTTAAAAATAAGCAAGTGATCATATTAATTTATGCTCAAGATACAAAGCAATGCAAATGAAATCAATTTGATTTTCTCTCAGGAAAGTGTGCAAAAGGAACTCACCTAGTTTTTCCGTAACACCTTGTGTATAAATTTGAAACGCATTATCAAGACCACGACAAAGGCTGTTTAGTTCTCCAACACTCATTGGTACTTTAAGAGCAAAAAATTGATCAACTGTCTGCATTTAAGAGTTACAAGATGAGCCGAATCTAACACTCTTGTGGGAACAATCTTTCTTAAGTTTATTTTAGAACAGAAAAGGTAACTATAAAAATATGGTTATCTATAATGCGGTTATGAGTTCAGAAGGATCAATTTAACATCACCTACTAATCAGGATATTAACAGAGAAACAAACATAACATAATATAAGATAGTAAAAGTTTCATCACTTAATAAAAATCACAAGTTTTTTTAACATTCTATGGAAGTGTGGGACATTTTAGCATTATCCATTGTGTATCTCATGACAAAAATTAATGCACTTCAAGTTTTGAATTTTCTGAATATAAGTTCATAAAGTTTAAACTACATAGTAAGAGCTTAAAAGGCACATAAACTTAATTTCAATATTTTCAAAGCATTTTCATGACTAGGTTCAAGCCCCTATTCATCTTTTGGGTGATATATTGTGTCAAAGCTTGTTTACGTCAACATTCAAATTAATCAATATTACAATACATGAAATTGAACATGTGTAGTAAATGGCACAAGTTGTATTGACTTGTATGAAAGATCAAGAAAACTTTTAAGTGATCATATTATACAAAATCTACAAAATGAATCAATGATAGGATTATAACACTTGAGGATCAATCTGTTTTTACATAGACAGACAATTTTGAGAATTGTTAGAGAATGCTTGAAAAGAATTATGCAAGATATTCCAGAATTATAAGCCACTTCTGATGCTGGAATTTTTCTTTGCATTTATACTCACAGAAGACAATTTTTCTGAACTTAAGCAAAGAAAATCAAAAGGAAAAACATCTTCTACTATTTTCTTGTTCAACATACACGATGATATTACTTTAGTATAGAAAAATATTTCAAGATCAAAGATTAACTCCTGTTTCACAATAAGTCAGTTAAGTGTCTCGCAGAAATAGCAAAGTACTTGGTGAGGAACTTGATAAAAAAAAAACTAAAGTTCCATGCACTTTGGAATATTTCTAGAGAAGACACCATACCATAGCACATAAAACACAAGTTCTAAGAAAATTATACAAGTAACATGCTACGCAAGTTACCTTACTAATTTACCAACTTCATACAGTCATTACTCATATTATGGTTTACATACAAGGAACTTACACGTTAACTGACCTCTTAGAGAACTTAATAGGAGACTAATTTTTTAATTAAAATGCACAGGGACCTTTCAGTTGTAGCTTTTCACTAAATTATAGTTCTCTAAATGGGAGCTTGGAATTGATGGAATTTGTTTCAGTTTGGTGCCCAATCATGACTGTATAACAACAAAATGACATTCTATGAATAATGTATGCTTCCCAGCATGGTGCCTATGCTACAGAGAGGAGGATCACCGCATCACCTGACCTATTTCTGTTTTATTTATATATACAATAATTAACTTGCACTATATATTCTAGAAAGGATAAATTATTTTTTATAAATACTTTCTAATCATTCAAAATGTCATTCATATCAGATAAAAAGATTGCATGATAGGTTGAACCTCTTCAATTATTCTGTAGACTTCAACAATGGAACTTCCATGCCGCTGTTGAGGTGATATGGGCTCCCAACCCTACAAAAGATAATTTTGGGAGATTCTCGTGTATGGTATTTAAGCAAATATCCGCATCTATGCAAGAGATCATGAAATTGATAGCATAGTATAATGTTTCATAAATGATCAAATTAAACCATGAAAAAATAAGACATTGAATTAAGCATGAATGCGCTAAGTGCCTTTACATACAATCCCAGGAACTCATAATACAAAAATGAAATAAAAATGAACAATAAGATATGCACACACTCTGAAACAAATTTTCATTATGAACCATAACAGAGTCAAGATCGCATCAATGAAATCCATAAATCATCTCCAATATGTACAAGAAGGGCTCGATCCCAAATTACACAATGGATTGTTTTTGTATGACATGGAAGCCCAACTTGTCAAACCGCCCATGTAAAATGACATCTCTAAGTGCCTACTCTTATACTACTTATCTATGCGCCAATGGGATGCATGAAAGTTATAGCACAAAGCTAAACCCTTTCCCCTTCTCTTTTTTAAAATTTATGATGAAATTTCATACATGCCGCTACACTCATGTAAATTCACAAGAACCTTCACAATTTTGCAAACACGATACCTACCCTTATTAGGCATATTAACTTTCATAAAAATCCTTTTAGTTGAAACTTTATGATACCCTTACAAAATTAAACATAGTTCATCGACATATAAAATGTTGGTAAGTAACCATAATATTTGAAACATCAAGGGACATACAAGAATTCTACATATTAAGGTACATGTGAAAATGTCCCTTCTTGTTTTTTATCTCCTCTGACAACTGGAGATGATGTAGTGGCTCTAAACCTCAAAGATTTAAGATAGGTCTTACATCTAAGGTTGCAACCAGAAAGATGAACAAAATATAAGGTTGTTGTAAAATTCAAAAAGTACACAAAAAATATAATGAATTTGTTAAAGGGGGAAAAGAAGAGAAGTATTTATATATTGAAAACATGATTATTAATTTCTCTCACCTGCAGAGATGCTAGAATTTAAAGTTTAAGATCCTAGAATGATTAACCATGATGAATTAAAGGGAGCTGCTAAACGTGTGAGAAACCAGAACTTACATATGGAGTTGATGACCAATGTGGTTATTGTGAAGCTAGGTGCCTCTATAAGTTTGTTCTAACAAATCTAAACTAAAAGCGAGCAGCCCACCTTTTCACGTGTTAACATGCGAGGTAGCATGCTGATTACATGCTTTGATTCATAAATATTGCCACAGATAGGTACAGCTTTTTTTCATGTAAAAGGCTTTTAAAAGGATTGTTAGTCAACAGACAATCACACAAACCATAGGTAATCAGAAACTTTGTGAACAACACAAATTTTTATACAAATTTTATCAGAAAACTAGGTACAGGTTCTGTTTCCCACATCACAATGACATTAAATGATGGATACGTTTGCATACATGTGTGTCCATGCATTGTGATTATTGTGCAGCTACTTCAATTAGTTCATGATGCTCACATAATTGTTGTACCATTCATGATAGCAACTCAGAGTCCTATACATAGTCCACATAAACATGATCATCCAGATGACCACAATAATACATGATAGGCATATTGCATGAATGGATCAGTGCATTGACAGTGTAGATATGCACACAGGCTGACCCCTGCCAAGCAGATGAGCCTTTAATTGTCTGATTGTATCATCATAAGTCAGGTTCTCAAATCAGAAAAAACACATTCCAACTATAAATAACATAAAGGTTTGACAATGAAAATGTCTCATACAGCAGGTCACAGTAAAAAAGAAGAATATACATGACCACAAATTTAAGAGAAAAGTGAGCATCCAAGAACAGGAATATATCAGGGACAGTTGGCATGCATATCAACCATTCTCATTTGGCCAGGGACCAATATGGACTAATTTAAGCCCTCTAAATTCTAATCATCATCTGTATAACTAATGTGATAGGGTTTGCATGTACCTTGTGTGAAAAATTTATTGCTGTATTTCACATAAAATTATAATTTTTCAAGACACTCATGAACAACCAACAATCTGACAAATATTTAAACATGTCATTTATGCATTTTTTTACATATATTCAATTATTTGAAAGATATTTCACTATCTGGTTGTTTCATCTGAAGTGTAGATGCAGTTCTCATACTCAAATTGAGAGGTCTTAGCCACGGTTTATAATAAAGCCTATACCTTTCAACAGGGGGTAGTATGCGGGTCCAACAGTCAAGTAGAACAGATAACAGATGATTTCATTGGGTTTTGTCTGGCATGGACTGTACTGCCCAACAGTCTTATCATACCGAATGGACTGTCATAAACTTAGCTGGTTTGTCTAAGCTGCAGTACCCTTGCAATATGTGTTCGCAAAGGGTCAGCCAGGCCATAACCTCATGAGCAACCTGTCACGGACTTGGGATATCATTCCGCACCGCAGAACCTGTATACAAACGTATCATAATTGATGGACACCCTTGTATACATTTATGCAAGGACTATAGCACTTCTTGTCTTCCATTAAATGGTATTTTGCACTCCATGGCCGTCAACTAGAAATCAGACCGTGGTATGCAAAAATAGGATTGTTTTAGTCAAGGTATGCAATACCATACCGTACCAATGTTTCGAGGTTGGCTTGGTACGGTATGGTACTAGTGTACCGAGCGGTACACCAGGGGCATACCGAACGGTACACCAGGGGCATACCGAACGGTACACCAGGGCTTACTGAGCGATTTCCTCTTACTGTAGCATTGCTACAGTGTATTACTGTAGCACTATAACACGGTCCGTCCGGTAGCGGGCAGTCCGCATATCGGTATGCCGTCAGACCGGTATGTACCATCGTACCGGGCGGTACCATTCGAAATTGCATACCATGGTTTAGTCAACGTTTATTGTACCGTCCAAGTCAGTATGGTACGTGCAGTACGAACCAATTTGACTAGCGATCAAGACACAGATCGCCAGAGTTCCTGTCGACAAAACTCAACATATCGTGTGTCAGTATACCCGTATGTACAGACCCAACAAATCTACGAGTCTGGTACCCAAAATGGCGAACCCTAGTTTTAGTCATTTTTCCCTACGTGTGACACTATCTACCTACAACGCTTATGTGTTATTACATACCATAAAACATAAAATAAAAATGTTGCAACGGCAACAGAGGGTTGAGTCATGCATTGCCTATGAGAAAACACTCAAATATTGGAAAAACAATGGAAAACAAGACCAACAACTATAGGTCATTGATGGCTGACAACAATAGGTCATAGACCGAACACCTTAACTACACTGCTCCATGACATTCTCCTCCACTTAACCACACCTTAACACCTTAACAATAGAAAACAAGACCAACAACAATAGGCCCTTATGAAGTTTTTCCAGATACTACAACTCCTTTGCTGCATCTTCAATTTTTCTTGGGCTACAATGTGCCTCCCGACTCCTTTCTCGTTTGTTGACACTATCATTGAACAGTCACTCTCCAATGATTGACTCTTTAGTACTTATCGATCCCTCTGAGGAATGAAAAAGAAAAAGACCTTCACTTTTGTGTTAACCTCAATCTTCTCACGCCAACTGATCTAGATGGATGCTTGATGGAGCTTTAACAAGCATCGTCTCATAGAATTTAAAGTTTTGAAGCCTTCTCCTGTGTAAAATTTAACCAACTATTCTACTTTTGCATAGCCATCGACTCCAAGTAGGTTCACATCGCTAACTCCAAGTAGGTTCACATCGCTACCTTTGGTGATGACAACTACCATTGGTGAGGATGTTGTTGTCTTCTTCAAAGGGGCTTTGAAGTTGCTTTTTCTAAGGTCTCCTAGAAGGAACTTTTAAGTTGCTTCTTCTTAGGTCTCTTGGAAGAGACTTTGAAGTTGCTTCTTCTAAGTTTTCTTCGAAGGGACTTTGAAGTTGCATAGCTCCTCTACTGAATAAGTAAGACAAATAAGGCACTTGGTTCTATCGATTCTCTCAAAAGTTAGAGACTTAGTCTACCCCCTTCAGGGAAAAATGACTAAAACCAAGGTTACTTGACTTAGTCTACCCCCTTCAGGGTTGTACTCAGCGCATCAAGTCAAATACTAGCCTTCATCTTCTCTTTACTCACACTTTCGGAGCTAGAAGTGTTGTCATCCTTGAATATAGTTGGTTTCCTTGCCTTATCTTTGCCATCGAACTTTTGGAACACAAGTGTTGCAATCCTTGCATAGAAGCGATTACTATACTTCACATCTTCTTTGTCATTTCACTTCAAAAATGCAATGTGTCACTTTAATAGTTTTGGTTGTCCCCATGGTGTTGTATCTCTTTTTTTAATCATCTTTGTTGCCTATTCCTGTAAGTAGAAAAGAGTACAACATTGCATGCTTCCTACCTCGTTCTTTAGTCGATCACCATCGCATCAGCTCGAAGTCCCCCATTTTTAGTTGATTAAAAAAAAAAAGGTCCTTTGACGCAAGTCTTATGAATTTTCTTTGGCCTCTGCCCTTCTGCATTGTCTCGGTGCCTAAAGTCAACCACTCCATTCTCCATCGCCTCGATCCCCTTTATTGACCAGTGCACTCTCTCTTTATAAGACCGTTCAGAAGTCCCACCTCTATGATATCATAGCGTCCTCTTATACCCATAGCGTTACTATCCGTTGACTTGCATATAAATCTCTTTCCTCGTAATCATAGAATTTAGCACTATGGTATTGTGGTACTCTCTCTGAGTCAACTTCCATTCCGACCGATGCTTAATTTGGCTAGCTAAGTCACTCACTCGGAAGATTCACCTCTGAGGTACTACATCCCATCTACTGATGTTCGTAGTCCATCAGATGCACATATAGAAGACCCACCTCTCTAGTACTATGGCACTTACTCATTAAGTCTATAGTCGTTCTTCTAATGTAGATTCGTTGCACACACGAAAAAACCCACTTCTACGATAACATGATTAAGTCCGTCTAGGACTTACTAGTGTGTCGTTTTGCTTGAATTGGTCGGATGTAATCCCTTCGTTGCTCTCTATGCTAGAACTCGAAGTGCAATTGTCTCTATATAGCCTTTGCCAATACATAACAAGGCCTCCATCAACCCAATGATCTTTTGCTAGAACTCGATCAATAGCTTTCTCCGTATGGTCTCCGCTAACACATTATAGGGCCTCTGACACTTTCAATAGTGTTTGCTCCAATAGCAATCAACCTCTGACCACCCGATCCTCGGCCACCCACCGACGAAGCTTAGCTCTAGATCAATATGTTGCCTAGTAGCTCTCAAAGTCCATTGACTTCACTAAAGACTAGTGCGACATTAGTCGAATTCTATGACTCTACCTCTAGCACAATCTCTATGCACATCGCTTCTCTTACAACAACTCGAATGCTAGCACATTAGTAAATTCTTTAAAAGCACCCGCATCTGTGACCTCTTAACCCACGCTAAGGCCTTTGGACTCCAACTTTGCCTTTGCAAGTTGAGTCGGTCTCGCCACCATCGTACCTTCGTCACTAGTGTCATCGAGCTCAATTGTATGTGTAGCAAAGCTCCCTTCAACTATGGCACCACACGAGACTCTGCATTGAAATAATGGTGGTCCTCAATCCATTGTTGCACTAGTCAACCTTCTATTGAGCCCGATGTTCACCTTATCGGCTTGATATGTTCCTTTATCTTTAGCATTGTCTATGTGCACTCCTCAACTTGATCTCTTAAAAATCCATCAATGCATCATTTCATATGAGATCTTGCAATGATTGCCCATCGCTCGCTCGCTCCCAACCTCTTTGAAGCTTTAAGGAGCATCCATCTTTGCCACGCTTGTCCTTCTGCTTGGAAGAGAAAGCCGCAAGGTTGAGTATGCTTGCTTCTCAAAGGCATCTCCTCCATCGTGTGCGTGGTCTATTACACAAAGAAAACATGATATCTCAGGATTTATCCTCTTGGAAATGTATCACATTGGAGTAACTTTTCTCTTCGCATACTTTTCTTAAGCAAAAAAAAATTCATACTCCATGGTGTCAAACTTCGATTGCCTTAGGATGGCCACGGATAATCCTTTGCCCGTGTACAAAGCCTTTGCATGAATACTACATTCTTTTGAGTCATCAATTCCCTCACCACCATGAGTCCTTGCACGAACTCTTTCGATCACCAATTAACCATTCTCCAACTTACATGATCTCATCCTTTGCAAAGCGCTCTCAGTCGCCTCGAGGACCGCCAAGTTAGGTTGACGATGTTGAGTTATAGCTCGAACTCAGTCATCACAACCTTTGTACGCATATGCATTCTTCCTAGCAAGCTTGTCCTCGTGGTGCCTCTTGTGTGAGAGATTGGTTGTTCAATGTCCATTCCACTAACTGACTCCATTGTCCATGTTTTTATACTCGTTTTCCTAAATGGTCACGTTTATGAATTGCCCTCCAAGCAGCCTCGTTAGGTCCTCACATTCCATGTCAAGTGTTTGTTAATGTGCTTGTCACGTTAATAGTTACAAATTTAGTTGGTTTTACCTAAGCCATACAACACCCTTACAATATTTGCCTAAAATTGTCACTCATAACCTCATACCATAGGGACCAACAAGGAAAAGGCAAGTTAGTGGAAGTAAAACTCAAGTTCGCATAAGCAAATATTTAAGCAAACACTTATGCTACAAAATATAAAGATGTACTTTGCAAGCTCCAAATGATTATGCAACAAAGGGTCTAAGACAATCTGTCATATATAAAGTCATTGTGCACAAGTGCCCATGCGACACCAACAGGAAGATCAAGTGACAATCCATCCTTGAGAGATATAATCGAAGCCTCATTCCATTCTAATGCCACCGAAGGGGATTTGGGGCGCTAAGACAATTAACATTTCACACTACAAGATCATCAATCAGAATACAGTTGGTGGCATGCGAAAAAAGGTTGTTTCAGCCATTTTTTCATGGGCATGATGCCACTGTCTACAAAACACAAAAAGAAACACTACCAATGACAAAATGGGATTGACAACACTACTTCATGCCCCTTATATGTTGCCTGCGAGAAATCTCTCGAAAATACCGAAAAACAACATAAAACAAGACCGACAATGGGTTAGAGGCATGTATCGAACGCCTTGAATGCATTGCTCTGTGAGAAGATGGTAAGTAGACTGATACCAAACTATAGTCCATCCTTTTTCTTTTTATTTTTATTTTCTCTCTCTGGCCTAGGCAGCACCAAGGTATTGATTGTGTACCGACCGAAATTGTCTAGTCAATGTACCAATTGACCATCAAACTAGTAAATATAGATCACCATTGGTGAGATGAAACCAATCCATACTGACTGATGCAATTGAAACTCATCCTTGTTATCAACTTTTAGAGCAAAGTTTTATTTCATGGCACCCCCCCCACAAACACCCTAGGGTTTCCAAATAGCAACTAGCACAATATGCACTACCATCATGGTTGTCACGATGAAATGGGGTTGCCAAAAAAGGACACACAACTATCAATGTCACAAAACTAACCCTCTTTATCTTGTTTGATGAGATGAAAACAAGGTGCACTAGGCAACAAAAGGAGAGGATGAAGCTTCATGATCTCAAATCCATAAATCGTACACTTGATGCTAGTTCATGGTAGGATAGCCTATCAGGCCATATAGAGCAACTGGATCAAACCACACTAGAAACCCTGTTTCAAGTTGAAACCATGCAGCAAACAGTTCAGACCATATGTCTGAAAATTCATGGCACTAAAGTAATTGTTTAGAAGTTCCTTCCTGGTAACACCCAGCTGCCGATCAAAAGCCTTAAGCTAAGAAGTTGAGCAAAACATATGGCAATGTAGTGTTAACACTTAACATATTATAAAGTCTGTAATTTTCACCATATTATTTCTAGGTATGATTTTGCAGGTTCATCCCAAATACAATCTTATTGACGGTCATCATTGGTTCTTAACCAGAATTGAAGAATTTTCAATCAGATGCTTCCTATTCTTATTGATGTCCTTATCAGTAAATAATCATTCTTAACAACAAACAACACTGCAGAAATAGATAACTGTGTTACCAAGTAAACTAAATGCAAAAAAATTGCACTTTGTTACCAAAAACTGGAATTATAGAACCATTATAAGTTAAACTTCTCGAATGACAAGAATGCCCCAAAGGAAATTTAGAAAGCTAATAACACGAGTCAGGAAGAAACCTAGTGCTTCACATAGATACATCAGTAAAGTTGACAGAGAAATATATAATATATGCTACTGAGCCTTTTCAGCTAGTCAATTACTGAAACCGACTTACCTCCTGTTCAACAGTCCGCTTGACCCACCCTATGATTCTGTCGAGCTGTGAGTTTACCCAGCGCAATACTAAAGTACCAGATATTTTCTCAACCTTAGAAAAGAAAGAAAAGAGTGGCCATCAGACAATGTGTGTGAAATACAAAATGTCTCCAAGACAATAAGGTGCTTCTTTACATCAAAGTCCAAACTTATGATTTCTTTGAAATCTTTTTTTTTAACATCATCATAACTACATGTATAAACAAAGACAACGCTAAGAATTAAAGAAATTTTACTAATAGCACAAAAGAAACACAATGTGACGTCAACACCAATGAATATCAACAAAAAACAAAAATTTATGTCTAGCCATTTGGGTCAAGGCTTCAGATTCCTTGAGACCATTTTTCTAGAATAAGGATAACGATGAAGATTCAAATGTTCCTTCCCATTATTCTGTTCACATTTTGGCCTTATTATGCCTCTCCTAAAATCTATAATTTGAATCAATACAAAATTTCTTGCCAATATGTAGCCATTCCCATTCATGCAAAGTGGTCGCTTTTGTTTGATTTAAAGTTCCTCAATGAAGCTCTTGCAGGTCTTCTTCTTCAGATATACTTTAACCACCTTGTATTACCAAGTAAAACTTGTTATCATGTTATACATTAGATTAAGTAGAGCTACGTAACCAACAATGTAAGCAACTAACACTAATGATCATATGACTTTAGTACAAGGTATACAATTTCAAATAATACCGCCCGGTATGGGCGGTACGTACCGGTCCATCAGCTTATCGGTACACGGACCGTCCCTTACCGCACGGAACG